CTTGTTTTCATAGAATCATAGAATCGTTAAGGTTGGAAAAGACCCTTAAGATCATCAAGTCCAACCGTTAACCTATCAATGCCATCTATACCATGTCCATCTATGCCGTGTCCTCGACCACCGTATCTATCCATTCTTTAAATACCTCTAGGGATGGAGACTCAACCACTTCCCTGGGCAGCCTGTTCCAATGCTTGACCACCCTCTCGGTGAAGAAGTTTTTCCTAATGTCTAACCTAAACCTCCCCTGGCGCAGCTTGAGGCCGTTTCCTCTCATCCTATCACTCGTTACTAAGGAGAAGAGGCCGACCCCCACCTCGCTACAACCTCCTTTCAGGTAGTTGTAGAGAGCAAGAAGGTCTCCCCTCAGCCTCCTCTTCTCCAGGCTAAACAACCCCAGCTCCCTCAGCCACTCCTCATAAGACTTGTGCTCCAGACCCTTCACCAACTTCGTTGCCCTCCTCTGGACACGCTCCAGCACCTCGATGTCCTTCTTGTAGTGAGGGGCCCATCATTGTTGTCTTACCGTTGCTCATGGAATAACTTTAGCAACAAGATTATTTTTATTCTGCTAGGTAGAATTACATGGAAAAAATGTTTAGATCACCTAAAACTCATTCTTTCTTCCAAAAATTTTCAGGTGGTTAGTCTTGACATCATCAGTACCCAGCCTCTTTTTGCATAATTACATGATGAGAGGAGCAGATTCTCAGCAGATATATGTGTTGTAGCTGCACTGAATTCAGCATAACTGAGTCTTGTCATCAGCCAAATACTTGTGTCATGGTAGTTGAGATAACACTATAAGCTTTACTAAACAAGTATAGAATATTTGATGACATGCATATAAGTACATAGAACCCCACTTCCTTTCTGGAAAAAAATCACCTGTGCTTGATTCTCAGTCTTTCCTATTATCCGTTGCTAATAGATACTTCCAGATAACATGTGCTGATTAAATTTTGAGAATGACTGATGCATATAATCCTTTCATAGCTTGTTGATGTGGATTGTTACTTACAACGCTTACTGTTAATTGATTTCTGGTGTATTGAAGTTTATTCTGCTACTAAGCAATAAGCTATTCAAACTCCATAGACATTATTGTATTTTCATGAATAGCAATTGGTACAGATTTAGAGCAGTTGAACAAATGTAACATGCCACTACTAATTAAAGTACTTCAAATCAAGGAAAATCTTTTCTACCATGTGAGGGAAGCACAGGCTGAGGGTAATTCATTTGCATATTTATGCTTTTTTAGCATTTTCTGAGGTGCTTCAGATTAGTGATTAGATTAAGATTCTGGACAGGGTGTGCTCTCTTTGGAATCATAGAATCATCGAATAGTTTATGTTGGAAGGGATCTTCAAAGGTCATCTAGTCCAACCCCCCTGCAATGAGCAGGGATATCTTCAACTAGATCAGGTTGCTCTGAGCCTCTGGGTCTGCTCCAAGAGCAGCTCCCTGTGCTGAGCGCTCCAGAGCGGGACACAGTACTCCAGGTGGGGTCTCACCAGAGCAGAGTAGGGGGGAAGAATCTCCTCCCTCACCCTGCTGGCCACACTCCTTTTGATGCAGCCCAGGATACAGTTGGCTTTCTGGGCTGCAAGCGCACATTGCCAGCTCATGCCCAGCTTTTCATCCACCAGTACCCCCAAGTCTTTCTCGGCAGGGCTGCTCTCAATCCCTTCATCCCTCAGCCTGTATTGATACCAGGGTTTGCCCCAACCCAGGTGCAGGACGCTGCACTTGGCATTATTGAACCTCATGAGGTTCACACAGGCCCACTCCTTGAGCTTGTCCAGGTCCCACTGCATGGCATCCCGTCCCTCAGGCGTGTCAGCCATACCACTCAGCTTGGTGTCATCTGCAAACTTGCTGAGGGTGCACTTGATCCCAATGTCTATGTCATTGATGAAGATATTAAACAGTACTGGTCCCAGTATGGACCCCTGAGGGACACCACTTGTCACCAGTCTCCATCTGGACATTGAGCCATTGACCACCACCCTCTGGATACGATCATCCAGCCAATTCCTTATCCACCAAACAGTCCACCCATCAAATCCATATCCTTCCAATTTAGAGAGAATTTTATTGTGGGGGACCGTGTCAAAGGCCTTACAGAAGTCCAGAGAGATGGCATCCATAGTTCTTCCCTTGTCCACTGATGCAGTCACTCCATCATAGAAGGCCACTAGGTTGGTCAGGCAGGACTTGCCCTTGGTGAAGCCATGCTGGCTGTCTCGAATCACTTCCCTGTCCTCCATGTGCCTTAGCATAGCTTGTCGGAGGATCTGTGCCATGATCTTCCCAGGCACAGAGGTGAGGCTGACAGGTCGGTAGTTCCCAGGGACCTCCTTTTGACCCTTTTTAAAACTGGGTGCAATATTCCCCTTTTTCCAGTCCCCTGGGACTTCACCTCACTGCCATGACTTTTCAAATATCATGGAGAATAGCTTGACAACTGCATCTGCCAATTCCCTCAGGACTTTGGGATGCATCTTGTCAGGTCCCATAGACTTATGTATGTTCAGGTTCCTCAGGTGGTCACGAACCTGAGCTTCTCTCACAGTGGGAAGCACTTTGCTCCCCAAGTCCCCACCTCGAGATCCATCCAGTCGAGAGGTGTGAGGAGAGAGGTTGCCAGTAAAGACTGAGGCAAAAAAGTTGTTGAGTACCTCAGCCTTCTCCTTGTCTGTTGTTACCAATTTGCCAGTCTTGCTCATCAGGAGGGGTACACTTTCTTTGATCTCCCTTTTATGGCTGACATAATAAGCCCTTCTTATTATTCGTTGCATCCCTTGCCGAGTTCAGCTCCAGCTGCACTTTGACCTTCCTGATGCCATCCCTAAACAACAGGGCAGTGTCCCTATACTCTTCGCAGGATACCTGTCCCTGCTTCCACTGCCAGTGCATTTCCTTCTTGCCCTTTAGTTTGACCAGCAGGTCTCAATTCAGCCTGTCCTTCTTTTCCTGGTTTCTTACACCTGGAGATCGAGAGCTCTTGTGCTCTGTGGAAAGTGTCCTTAAAGATCTGACAGCTCTGTTGTTCTCCCTTGTCCCTGAGGGAAGTTTCCCAGGGGGTCCTATTGACCAACTCCTTGAAGAGCTGGAATTTTGCTTTCCTAAAATTCAGGGTCCTGACTCTACTCTTTGCCTGACCCACATCACTCAGGACTGCAAACTCTCCCCAACAGCTATGGATAAAGTGATTCTGGGTCACAGCACATTTCATAAATTACACAGGAATCAAAAGTGTCTCTTACCTCTTGGGGATGAATTTTTTCTAGAATGTTGCCACAGAGTGAATCCACTTTTATTTCATTTCATTAAACTGTGTAGTATAACAAAAAAATCTAGCCTTATAAATTGAAGAACAGTCAGGGTAAAGAAATAAGAGTTTTCTTGTATCTGTCTCCATCACCCATAAAATACTCCTCTGAGCAGTTTTTCTTTGTTTGTGCCACTTTTTGGAAAAAGTTATCCAGTTTATTAAAGCAGGGTAATTCTCTGGTTGTTTTCCACTCAGTAAAATGAGCAAAGAATTCCTGTAGCACAAGAAAAATCTAATGGCACAAGGCTGAAGGAGGTGACGAAGCTGATGGCTGCCTTTTGTGTTAGTCATGCTTTCCTGGGCACTAGCATAGGAGGGGAGGAGGAAACCTCCCACAAATCCCTCTTCATCTCTCCTCCACTGGGAGACCCTGCACATGCATGTGGGCTGGGATGTCTGCTCAGACCCTGCAGAACCTTAACGGAGAAGAACTGGCAGAATTTGGAAGCTCCTTGGCAAAACTCTTTGTTTTGACAATGAAAGATGGTGATTTTCAATTAAAAATCTTTTAATATACTTTATTTATATATTTTCATTACCTGTGTTGCCATCAAAGAAATGCATTCTTTCATTCAGTGACTTTGCTACTTTTTTGTTTGTTCGAGTCCTCATGAGCCTTTCTGATCACCTGGGTAAACATGTAGTTTTCTCACATCTTTGAAGAGTGACACACTGTCTTTTGTAATGCTGAGCTTAGGACTTTGACTCAAAGTAGCACTCAGTAAAAAATGAAAATTAGTGTGAAGATGTACAAATTGTGTTGGAATTTGCAGAAATTAGAACCTCATTGTACAATTAAATTTCCATTTTGCCATTTTTCATGTAAACAGTTACAAATTGCTTGAAAACAGGCTAGATTTTTTCTGTTTACTTGTTGAGCTCCTCCATTAAAAAAGAACAGTGTCTTTAAATGCTGCAAGACAGAGAGTATAAGAATATTTCACATCTTTGATCATAATGTGATGTGGATAGGTTGCCTTAATGAGTGGCCTGTACACATTTCTATGTGTGATCTAAAAGAATATCCGTAATAGCAATAGAATCTGGAAATTCTGTTGTAACTCTAACCTTTCTTATACTTTCATTTAAATTTTTTTTCATAATAGAAACATGGTGAGGATTCATATTGCCAAGAACATAAGAATGAGCTGATAAAAGCAAATAAATTCATGCAATTACATTTTCTCTCTAAATAAAAGTATTTCTGTTTTCCAAAGATGAACCTTTCACGTAGAAATTAACAGCTAGTGTGAAGGAACTGTGTTAAAAATGAACAGAAAGAAAAAAGAACGAAAAAACAATTAGATTGAAAAACCCCTGTCTTACATCAAAAGCCAATCATTTGTAATATGATACCAGCAATCACCATGTTCTGATATAGAGCAAAGTACAGATGTCAAAAAATTAACTTTTGATGTTTGTAGGCTAAGGATTTTTTTGTACAAAATCTTATTGATTTTGTAATACTTTTCTGTGTTTACACTGAGGTTTTTTATAACAATCAATTTTCAAGTTACAAGAACTCTTAATCCTGGTTTAAATGGACTCAGCAACAACTCTCACAATGAAGTCAACAGGTTTATAAACAGGCACTCAAAATAGTTCTGTTATATTTGACACTGAAATTATTTTTTTACATTTGTTTCCCTCGTTTCAGGAGCGGACAAGTTGAGAAATTGGAAGTGGATCCTAGTAAATATTCATTCCCTGATGTGACAAAGATAATCCAAGCAAAGGAACGAATTGGACAGGGACCTATTAGGCTACAACCAGAGAAGATTACAGAGACTAAGAAGAGTTATGTTGATTTTGAAAATAAAGAAGATGTTCCTCCCTTAATTTGAAACATTCTTAAATAGCCCCTCTATATGTGGTGCGTATGCTTGAGTTGCTTTCATGACCCTATGTGTAAAGTAGGTATAATATAACTGAAGTTAGAAATACTATTACTTTTCTTATCAATAACTTTGTTATGCCTGTGTTTTCTGTGGCATTTTCTGTTAGTATATTGCTATATAAATTATTTTTTTCTAGACTGTTTACTTAGTAAGTCTCAAATCAGAATGGGAGCCATATAAGTCAGACATTGTCATTTCTTCAAAGAATTTACTTTCTAGCTTGAAAGATGACGTGTTACTGTAGAAACAGAGAGAAGGAAGGAAGGAAGCACTTGTAACAAGATTTATGATTATTCTCACTAAACTGAAGATAGCAAAAATCTCTGTGTATTCCTTCAGTGTTTTCTTTTTCATGAAGGACAACAGTAAAAGAAAACAATGTATTCTGGGAGTGAGAGACATTGCTGTAACCTACCATACATCAATGAATTTTCCAGCATGATGGAGAGCTCCTGGATTCTGGAGCTGGTATAACAATGCCACTGCTTGAAGATTTGGGGAGAGAATAATGCTGAACACCGTATCTCAGATGTGGCACCATGGGGAAGCTGGGGGAAATCAGCCAGACCATTCTTGTTCTTCATGCAGCTACTCTAAACTGTTCCATCTTTTTCAGGATCCCCTAAAAATATCAAGGCTAATTTTTAGCTGCTGGATGAAATAAGGTTGAGCAGCTGTAATGGGATGAGCTGCTCCTTCCCTACCCTCCAGCCCATTTTTAGCAACCAGAGACTCTATTATCATATTTTTTTCCCTCAGCTTCTGGATTGCCTCATGAGTGAAACAGGCAGCATCAAAGAACAAATATATAGTGGGTTACATTAGAAAATTATTGCAATTTGGCAAGACCAAATTTGTGTGGTTTTTTTTTTTCCCCTGGTTTCCTGAGAAAACAAGGCTTATGTCATTCTTATCTCAGCTCTGCTTTTGAATGGCATTTCTGTTATTTTCACCCTATTTGATGGAAGAGAAAGGTCAAAAAAATACTCAACTCCTCTAAATGTAGTGAAAACCGTCACTGAGCAGTAAAAAGGATTCTCTTGATGCAACTGCTGTTGGGAAGAGAGAACTCAGCCATTAGCTGTTCTGACAGTAGCCACTCAGCTAATCAACGTGTTAGTAACTGAACTCTTTGTGCATACTAACATTCTTGCCTAGGTGGTAGTTAAAGTAGGAGTCATTTTTGTAGGGCTCTTGGAACCTGGGGGAAAGCTGAGGAGAGTGTGGGAAGTATTTAGGAAGTATGGTTAGACCTTGAGTTACTATGGAAGCAAAAGGTGGATATTGAGAAGACAGTGGAATTTTGCAGAGGGAGGGTCACAACAAATGTTTCTGGGTGGGGTGGCTGTTGAAATAAGGAATATGCAGGGGACATATGACATAAAACCATAGGAAATCAAGCCTCGTTAGCTCTGTTGCCTACAAAACAGTTGATGTAATGATATATATGTGCTTGAACATCTCTTTTGGCCTTTTAGTTGGGCAATTAGCATTCAGTTCTATAGTAAAAAAGATACCTTTTGTTTTTTACCAGTTTTAAGGCCACTGTTACTTCAAAAAACAAAGAGAGATTCCAAGCAAAAAGCGAGTTGAGTGACCTACATTACCTTGCTACTGAATTGGAAACTGTTTCTCTGTAAAGGAAGACTTCATTTGGTCCTGCAGAAGGAAAATGCTTCTGATTCAAATCAGCTTTTGCTTCTAGCTAAATGGGATAGAGCAAGAAAATCCAACTCAAGAAGAATCAAAGAATATTTTATGGTTACATCTTGTTTTCGTCCTTAAGATAGAAAATTAATAAGCTGCACTTACAAATGAACCACTAAAACTCCACTGAAAACATGTTGTTTAAGTAGCAGTCTATGTTCAGATAGTGCCTGTAATATCCCTCAGCACATAGTCAAGTTCACGATACATTCTTTGAAATTGCTGTATACCTAATTGTGAAAAACATAATGTAAAAAACTCAGCAGTTAGAAAGAAAACATTCCTATTGAATTCTGGGATTTTTTAGCCACTCTGAAGTGCTTTATGATTCTCCACAGATGTTTAATGTAAGATAAAGATAAATAGTCTTTCTTAAAGTGCACTGAAGAGAAGCAGAATATATCCATCAGCTTGGGCTGATGGGTTGAACTGATGCATTTTCTTTGGTTGCAATTTGAAATAGATACAGGATAAAAAAATGAAGTTTCATACTAATGCTGCATATACTGAGAGCTGAAAAGAAAATGTATATATATCATGAAGACATAAACCAAAATTGAATTTGGGCATCCTCTGACCTATTGTAGTATCATCTTGGATTTTTCTTTTCCCATCTTGTGCACTGACTTGATTTTTCCAATTCCAGAGTAAATTCTTCCATGATATAAGCCTCTCAGCCCTGAAATCTACTTAATCAGCTCTACTCTGGTAAATGGAGTATAAAAACATCAACTTCTTTTGTGATATACCCCTATTCACTATAAATTCCTAATCATGCCAGCTAATGATGAAAAAGACGGTATTAAGTTTTACCTCTTGATGTCACCACATAGTTATATTCCCATAAGGATGAGTATGGATCGTTTTCTGGATTGCACATCAAAACATCTGCATTTGAGATTGTACAGGGTGTCCGTGCCCAGGTGTTTTGGCAGTCGGGCTGCAGGGCGGCCTCTGTGAGGAGAGGCCAGGGCTGCCCCGTGCCGGACACAGCCGGTCCCAGCCGGTCCCAGCCGGGCCCAGCCGG